CAATGACATTTGCACTTCATTTATTTTTCATTGTTGTTAAAGATTTTTAGTTCTTTGTTTTTAGAGAAATAGTAGGTCAAAGTGATGGAGAGAAACATCGGTGTGTGGTTGAGTCTCATGGGGCCCCAGCTGGGGACCTGGCCCACAAGCCAGGCATGTGCCCTGACTGGGAGTCAAACTGGTGACACTCTGGTTCCAAGGCTGGTGCTTAATCTACTGAGCTGCAGCAGCCAGGGCTTTTATTCTAGTTTTTAGAAAACAGTTTGTGTGTTTAATTTTAGAGAGCAGGAAGAGGAGGGAGAAAAGGAGGGAGTAAAACATCAGTGTGAAAGAGAAACATCAATCAGCAACATCAAGATCGTATCACCAACATCATACAAATAATTAAGTTAAAAATAAGTGCTATAGAAATAAAATATGTAGCAATGAATAAGAGAATAATTTTATATAATATATAATATATAATATGAAGGATGAAAAAAGAAAGGAAGAAACATTCAACAAAAACTGTAAGTTACAAACCTGATTCGTTAAAAATAAAAGATCTTAGGTTAGAATGATGCACAGTAGATTAATTATAGATTACTATAGTATTAAATAACTGGGGTGCTTTTTATGTGGCATAGAGATAGCATTTTCCCCTTTATCTGTATAGGAGATAAGGAGAGAGAAAGAGAGGGAGACAACCATGGATATGGGAGAGAAAAATCAACCCGTTGCCTCTTGTGAAGCCCCAACCCAGGACTGAACTTGCAACCCAGGCATGAGCTGTGACCGGACATGCAATGAGGATCCTTTGCTTTTACAGGAGGTCGCCTCACCAACAGAGACATAGGGGTGAGCGCTAAACTTTTAAATTTAAATCAATAAACATTTCATTTAGATACTCATGAAATGTTTTAAGTAGAAAGAGTGTCATAGTAAAATAACTTAGTAAAAACATTTCATTTAGTGAAAGTTTGTAAATTTAAAAAGTAAGTAAAAGGAAGTTTAAAAATAAAGTATACACAATTTAATGAAAAAATTGAAAAGAATTGAATTTATTTTAGCCCAGGCTGGTGTCATTCCTTGGATTGAGCTTGGGCTGCAAACCAAAGGGTCAAGGGTTTGATTCCCAGTCAGGGCACATGCCTGGGGTGCAAGCCAGATGCCCAGTAGGGGGCGTGGGAGAGGCAACCACACATTGATGTTTGTCTCCCTCTCTTTCTCCCTTCCGTCCCCTCTCTAAAAATAAATAAATAAAATCTTAAAAAAGGAAAATAGTTTATTTTTAAATAATTTCTTAAATTAAAATTTGAATGGATATTTTAGTTGAAACATAATATAACCTTTAACAGTATATTTTAAGAAAAATTTCAGTTATTTACAAATTTAAACTTATTTGATGTAGAGAGAGAAATATGGATTCCTTGTTTCATTACTTGTGTATTCATTTGTTGGTTCTTCTCTTTTCTCATCCTCACCCAAAGATATTTTTGTACATGGATTTTAGAGAGAGTCAGGGAGTGGGAGAGAGCTGGGGAGAGAGAGGGTGGGGGGAGAGAGAGAGAGGAGGAGAGAGATAGATGTGAGAGAGAAACATCTATCATTTGCCTCCTGCATGCGCCCAGGGGACGCGGGGAAGATCCAACCCAGAGCCTAGGTGTGTGCCTGAAGGGAAGGCAACACTCAGTCTTCGGGTGCAGGGAGCCACTCCACCCAACTGAGCCATCCCACCAAGGCCACTTGTTGATTCTTGCAGCATCAGCTCTGACTGCGGATGGATCCCACAAACTTGACCTGTCACGGTGGCCCACTAACCAGGTGAGCTGGCAGTTAGGTTTAAAAACAATTTAAAAATGTATTCACTGCATTTCATTGAAAATAGCAAAATGGACGAGAATTAAAACAATGAATAAAAACTGTAATAATACAATTACTGAAAATAAAAATAAATATGGTTAAATACAAATATTTTAAATTAAAAATTATAAAAATGTGATCAAATCATTTCAAATACTTTCTTTTTATATTTAAAATAAAAATTAAATGAACACAAAGAATAAAATAAAGTCAAAGAATTTTTAAAGTACAAAGTAATGAACATATTTACATTTTAATGTTGAAAAATACAATAAAAAATGTGAAATGCTAAGGTAACCAATTATATAGCTTGGAAATGTTGTAACTAAAATTTTTTAAAGAAAACATTAATAAGAAGGATGTTATTTAAAATTATACATTATAATATTTTATTGCCTTATATTGAGTATTCAACTTACCATAAAGTTATATTATTATCAGGTATTAGAAATAAGATAAAATTAAAATGATTTGAAGAAAAACAGAATACATGTCAGTAACTAAAAAACAAATACTTTATAACATTATTTAGTATTTCAAGCTTTTACATTTAAAATATTTGAAAATTATCATTAATATTTTCTTTTAAGATTTCATTCATTTCCATTAGCAAGTGGGGAAGGGAGGGAAAAAGAGAGGGAGAGAAATGTCAATGTGTGGTTGCCTGGAACTGGCCTGCAACCCTGGCACATGCCTTGACTGGGAATCGAACTGTCCACCCTTTGGTTCCCAGCCAGTGCTCAGTCCATTGGGTTACATCAGCCAGGGCAATGGACATTAATATTATTTAAAAAATCCATTTAAAACTTAAAATAGGAAAAAACTGAATACCATAATGATAAAGTAAATTTTAAAGGATCATACAAAATTAAAAAGAAATAACTGTAACTAATAAAATACATAAATATTATCTTTAAAAGTCAAAATATATTAAACTAAGTAATTTAAAATGTATAGTAGTTATATTATTATAAAATCATATGAAAGAAAAGGGAAAATGTTAAAAAACCTAAAAATATACAATAATTTTACTGCAATATTTTCAAATAAAATGTTAACTTTAAAATACATTACATAAAAGTAAATCTTCTTAAGTTAGATATATAAAAATATAATTTAAAATTCTTTATATTAACAAGTAAAATATAAATGAGTTTACTTATAATTTAAAAATATAATTGAGTAAAATATAGTAATAAAATTTAGTAATATAAGTAAAATGTAAAATATTTACTTATGACTTTGAAAATATAATTTAAAAATTTTTATACTAACAAGTAAAATATAAATTCCTTAAATATGCTCCATATATAAATTAAAGAATAAATCATCTGTGTAACATAAATATTTAAACAACAAAATATATAATTCATATGACATAAATGAAATAAATATATGAAAAACTAAGTCATACAAATAATTGAATTAAATAATAAGAGGTAGTACAGATATAAAATATGTAATTATAAGAAAATAGTTTTCTAAAATATATAATAAAGAATATAAAAGTGAATAAATAGAGGGGAAGAAATCTTCAAGAAGAGTTATGAATTAAAAGTTTTTTCTTCTTTTTTCTTTTTTTCTCCTTTTCTTTTCTTTCTTTTTTTCCCCCAGATGTTTCTTTCTAATGGATTGACCATTACATTTCCTAACTTCTGAAATGGCCAACAGACCATAGAAAGACATTGCTTTAGGCTCCTGCTTGAAACCAGCAGCTTGAATTAAAGATTTAATTATTCAAAAATAAAACACCTTAGGCTAGAATGCTAGCTTACATTACACAGCAGTTGAATTCTATATTACTTCAGTATTCAATAAATAACTCACGGTGCTTTTCATGCAGTAAGAAGCGTTAGCCACGGAACACCGGTCCTTCCGCTCACCCACGTGTTTCACAGGGCAGCGCACTGTGCTCCTCCCTGGGAAGCGCACTCGTCTGCCCCCTGCAGGGGTCCGGGTCTTTGGGGAGTGCCCATCCCTTCTCTCTCTGCCACCGCTGTCCGGCTCCAGCGCCGCTGATTTCTCCGGTTTCTCTCCTGCCCCTGTGGCCGAGGGCGCAGAGCCCGAGGGGGCAGCGGCTGCGCGCTGATTGTCCCGGAGACCTGTGCTTCCTGGCAGTCCCGGCACCGCTGGCTGCTCCCTGCGCTCTGCAGGGTTAGTTCTCTCTAAGGTCCGGGCCATATCGTTCTGGGTCTCCTTCTGCCCGATATGGATATCGTCCTGTACATCGTTTTCTCTGTTATGTATATCGTTGTGTCTGTTCTGAAAATCGTTCTGACAGAACGATTCTTCCCTGCTCTGTGTTCATTTTCTCGTGTCTCATTTGGGTATACCGATTTTGTGGGCTTGTTAGTGGTGAGTAACATCGTTCTGTATTGCTCATTTTTCGTCTGCATCTGGCTGGTATCCGCCCCCCACCCAGGACAGCATAAATACCCGGGCTGCTTGCTCTCGGCAGGTGAGTTCTCTCTGGGGGTTGCTAAAGGTTCTCGCTGTATCGTTCTGCACATCGTTGTGTGTGTGTTGTATATGGTTCTGTACATCGTTGTGTCTGTTCTGTATACCGCTCTGGCGGAATGACTGTTCCCTGCTCTGTGCTCATTTCTTCATAATGCATTTGGGTGTACCGACTTTCTTGACTTTGTCAGTGGTGGGTGACACCGTTTTGAATTTCTCGTTTTTGTTTCTTTTTTAGATCTGGCTTGCATCCGCCCACCACCCAGGAGAGCACAAGCACCCAGGCTGCTGTCTGCAGGTTAGTTCTCTGCATGGGTTTGCTAAAGGTTCCCACTGTCCAATTCTGTATATGGTTCTGATTTGTATATGATTTTGTATATCGTTCTGTACATCATTGTGTCATCATTCGGTACATCAGTTTGTGTGTTCTGCATATCATTCTGTGTGTCCTGTATTTCGTTCTCACGGAATGACTGTTCTCTGCTCTGCTCATTTCTTCATATTGCATTTGGGTATACCGATTTTTCTTGACTTTGTTCGTGGTGGGTGACACAATTTTGAGTTACTTGATTTGTTGACCTCTGGCTTGCATCCGCCCCCCACCCAGGACAGCATAAACACCCAGGCTGCTCCTGCCCCTGCAGGCTTTGCCTCCTGAATCAGGTCGGACGCCCGTGTCCTCCTGGTCCGAGGTGTGTGCGATGGAGCTGCCCTTTCTCCACGCTGTGAACCTGCCTTGGGACGACCGAGACGTGGTGCCACAGCCCCAGCCTCCGTGGATGGAGATCTCCGCCGACTCCGGGCCCTGGGTGCTGCCCCTCTACCCCGTATGGGGAGAGTCCGCAGGCCACCACGGCACTTATAATGGGCAACTGCTTTCCAGTCCTTGTTGGCAGCTGCCCTCGGTCTACGAGCGGTACAGAGTCTTAAGCGGAACCCAGAGCCCCCGGGAGCCAAGCGCAGCGCAGCCCAGTCCCGGCTTCGAGGCGGGGACTTGGAGGACGCCCCCAGAACCTGCCGGAGCTCCCGAGCCCACAAAGGACACCGCGTCCCAGCACCTTCAGGTGGCCCTGCCGCCGGATGGCGAAGACACACCCTGAGCCCACCCAGACCTGTGACAGCGCGCAACCTTCAGAGTGCCGCCCACCTCCGGCCCCCGCTGGGTGGCGCCCGCAGCCCTTTTCCTGGGGCTGCCTGCGGTGGGTGCGTCGCGCTGTCTGCACTCTGAGGCGCTGGGCGGCTGTCTGTTTGGGGACCTTCTTGGACTAGTCCATGTCCGTGGCTCTCCAGGGACCTTCCTAATACTCTGTTTCCTACTATTCTTACAATATCACTTCTCAGTTTAACGTTCTTGTGAGACATTTACCTTCACAGACATTGGTGAGATTTTCTTTGGCACACCTAATAAATTACACAAAATTCCACCATCTTTTTGTGTCCCTGCTGCAGTTTTGGGGGGCAGACTGGGAGGGTCCTCCTAAGTGTCGAGACTTTGGTTCATGGGCAGGTGGTGGGGTCTCCCACACACACTGGGGTGGGATCGGGAGGCTAGTGGGTCATCAAACTGGAACCAGCTTTCTGGGCCTCCAAGGGTTCCCGCAGAGAGGCAGCCTGTGGGCCCTGAGAACTCCCCTGACCCCCACAAATGCTTCTGCTCCCTGACCTTTTAACTGTCCAATCCATCTCATTGGCCTTCCAGGCCCCCTTCCCATGACCCTGCTGCCTTCCCTGCTGCAGGCCCCCCAAACCCACCTACAGGTACTAGCCCCCTATGGCCCAGAGCTTCTCTCTCCAGAAGGCACTCTCCTGAACACACCCCTTCTTCCTGTAGCTCTCCCCAAATCTCATTTCCAGCACACACAACCAGGTGACCTGCTGCAAGCCAGCCGGGGTCCAGTGGGAAGGCCTTGGTGCCAGGGACACTAGTTCTCTGTAGAGTGTGCTTTCAGCATCCAGAATCTGGAGTGGCCATGTTACTTACTCATCCGAATTCCAAACCGGTGACTTATCAAGGCTCTTCCTTATTGCTGACAAAGAACAAAATTCCACTAGTGAACTGACAGATTTCATTGGCTCTGTTAGAAGTTTCACAAACCAGGCGGCATCCCATCTAGCAATGAGAAAGGCACTCCCGGGGTTTATCCAAAATGACAGGTTTTCCTAGGAAGGGGGTGGGCAGAGGAGGTATTAGGCTAGGGAAAGAAAGGATCATTTTTAGACCAGGACGTCTTCTTTGGTGGGGAGGAGGGAGAACAGAAATGATTTTTCTATGCAGATCCATGTTCCCTGGGGGGAGGGGGCAGAGATGAAGAGGTTCCCAGTGACAGGTTACCTACCTGGTGCTTGCTGGGAAATTCCAAACTGGTGACTGAGACTGTATTTCTTGGAAAGGTTGAAATTGCCGTTAAATCAGGGGTTAAGGCTAGACTCAGTGTCATGGGCTTTTAGCATAAGTGACAGCATTTGGGGCCTGTGGTGTCTCTGTAACATTATCAAATACATCTGAACTAGAGAAGCATGTCCAGGTTAGAAATCCTAATGTCAACAGCGTCCACAAAGTGCCAATGCTCAATAAACGTCCACTACGATGATTCTTCTAATCAACCAACTGCTGAGATTCCTCTGGGTCAGAGCAATTCACTGAGACTGAACCCCCAGGTGTCTCAAAGTGCAGCCTTTCTCCCTCAGGACCTCATCCGACAATCCCTTCATCTGGCTTCTGCCACCCCAGCCAGCCCACCCTCTCCCTGCTTCGTCTTCCGATTGCATGGGACACCTCTCTGTAGGACTGAATGCTAAGGCTCAACCACTGTACAAATTCCGTCCTGTCAGGGAATGCAAATTTCTCCTGAATGCGGACACCATCTCCCTGACTGCACTGTTTTTGCACCGAAAGGGATACGTGTGCTTGGCAGCACCATTTGCTGCCACCACTTGGGGGATGCACGTGCCTCTCACTCCTTGGCACCAGGTGGGAATATTCCTGGAGTCCCCTGGGCCAGTTGTTCCACGCTTTATTTTCTCGGTGGCAATGCCACTGCTCTCACGGACTCACTCATTGCTGGGGAACAGCACGTCTAATTGCACCCAGGGGACAGTTTCTAAGTTGCAGGTTCCCCAGTTGGGGAACTTCACTGTGACGGTCTCAGCCACAGCAGGTCCTGTCCGTAGCAAGTTCGGGTGTAGGCCCGACTGCGATTCCTTAGCCGTGCATGTCAGGGTTCAGCCCTAGCATCAGGGTTTCACTGTGCCTGGGAGATCTCTGGGTCTGAGTGAATCCAGCTGAGCCCTTTCTTAACCGTAGTGAGAACCGGTTTTGAAGTAGCAAATCCGGTGGCTCCAGGAAGCACCCTCTTCCCAGCACCCCCCACCCTGGCCCACCCCTGTGAGGGTCCTCTGTGGCTTCTGTGTGGTCCTGTCTCAGCCCTTGTGGGACCTTCAATGGCAGGATCTGCTGCTCATACCTACTTACAATTTCCTTAGTGCAGCTCTCAGCACAGGTTTAATAACTAGATTAAATGTGCTAGGTTTAATGTACTAGATTTCGTTACAAAGAGCAAAATGAAATAAAATGAAAACATTAAATAGAAAGTGTAATAATAAAATTATTGAAAATAAAAGTAAATTTCTTTTATAAAATATCTTTGAAATGAAAAATTATAGAAATGTGATAAAATAATTTAATCTTGTTTCTTCTTATATTTAAAAGAAAAATTAAATGAATACACACAATAAATATTAAGTCAAAATACAATTTTAAAGTACAAAATGATGAAAATAAAATATTTAAAATTTAGTGTCTAAAAATAATATAAAAACTGTAAAATTCTAAGATAACTGATATTACAATGATAAATTTTGTAAATAAAAACACTTCAAACAGAAAATTATTCAGAAATATTTAATACTTAAAAGTACATATCATTATAATCCTTTCAAACATTGTATCAATGATTAAACTTACCAAATAGTTATGTTCTTATAAAGGTATAAATTATAGTCTCGTTTACAGTATAAATAATACTGAAGATAAAAAGTTTTGATTAGTATGAAAATAAATGTGTGCACCTCACAAAACAAATAGCAAATAAAATTAGTTAGTATTTACAGATTTTAAGGTGCAAAGTATTTGAACCTTGTCATTAATATTATTAATCAATGAATTGAAAAGTTGAAAAGAGTAACAAGTGAACACAATAATAATATAAAATTGTAAAGCATCATAAAAATATAAAGTAGAAACAAATATAATTAATAAAACATGTAAATATTGTTATCTTTCTTTAATGAAAATAAAAAATACATTGAACTATGCAAGTTAAAATTTCATATTAAACAAATCCATATTATAAAAGAAGATGAAAGTAAAGAAACTTTTAAAGAATCTACAGAATACAAAATAGGTATACTGCAATGTTATCAATCAATGTGTTAACTTAAGAATGCACTAAACAAAAGTAAATCTTCAGCAGGTCAATATTCAGCCCGGGCTTGTGTAGCCAGTGGGGTGACAAGGGCTGCGAATCAAAGGGTTGCCACTTGGATTCCCAGTCAGGGCACATGTCTGGGATGGGGGCCAAGTCCCCATCGGGGTGCACAGGAGAGGCAACCACACATTGGTGTTTCTCTCCCTCTCTTTCTCTTTCCCTTCCCCTCTCTCTAAAACAATAAATAAATAAAGTCTTTAAAATTTTTTTTAAAGTTAGATATTTTTAAATGTAATTGAAAATTATTTCTCTAAATAAAATATAAATGACTTAAACATTATCTTTATAAATTAAATAATAAATCATCTCTGTAACATAAAATTTTTAAAAAATGACATACGTAATTCATAGAACAGAAATAATGAAAATAACTGTATGACCAAACAATATTTGTGCAAAGGATTAAATTAAAAGTAAATAAGTAAAATAGAAATAAAATATTGACAATAAATAAAAATAGATTTGTAAAATATATAATAAACAACATAAACAATGAATGGAAAGAAAGGAAGAAACATTTAACCAAAAAATACAAATTAAAAATGTGATTACTCGAAAATAAAACACCTTAGGCTAGAATGCTAGGTTACATTACACAGCAGTTGAATTCTATATTACTGCAGTATTCAATAAATAACTCACGGTGCTTTTCATGTAGTATGAAGTGTTAGCCACAGAACACCGGTCCTTCCGCTCACCCACGTGTTTCACAGGGCAGCGCACTGTGCTCCTCCTGGGAAGCGCACTCGTCTGCCCCTCCAGGGGTCCGGGTCTTTGGGGAGTGCCCATCCCTTGTCTCTCAGCCACCGCTGTCCGGCTCCAGCGCGGCTGATTTCTCCGGTTTCTCTCCGGCCCTGTGGCCGTGGGCGCAGAGCCCGAGGGGGCGGCGGCTGCGCGCTGGTTCCCCGGAGACCTGTGCTTCCTCGCAGTCCCTGCACCACTGGCTGCTCCCTGCGCTCTGCAGGGTCAGTTCTCTGTAGGGTTTGCGAAAGCTTCTCCTTATACCGTTCTGTCTGTCCTGTATGTCCTTTGGTCTGTTCTGTACATCGTTCTGTCTGTTCTGTTCATCGTTCTGTCGGAACGGTTGTTCCCTGCTCTGTGCTCACTTTTTTGTGCTTCATTTCAGTAAACCCATTTTCTTGACTTTGTTAGTGGTGGGTAACACTGTTCTGAATTCGTCACTTTTTTAGTTACCTGTCCTGCATCAACCTAAACTTCTTTTCAGCAAGAATGTTGCAGTATAACAGCTTGTTTGAGAGCCACCTCTCTATTCAGTGAATATGCATCATTTAATTTAACACTGCAAACTTTTGACTTACTTATATCTGTGTTAGTTACAAGTCATTTAATGAGTAGCAGTGGATTAGACATTAAACAGGGATCTATCATCTCAATTTCTTTTTCTCTTGGCTGACAGATTCGGTAAGATAGAGAATGCAGAAGCTTACTGAAGGAGCAACCCCCGGTAGGAAAAAATGCGTTTGTTTGGGTTACATTTAACATTGACAACTGTGAAAACAAGCCAGCTTTGGTTAAACCAGGACACTTAGACCCATGTGTATTTATCAAAGATCATTCCAGATCACGTGAACTTGAAAATATTTGAATTAGTG